CAATCGCTATTCAATGAGGCACATTAAGCAAAAAGATGGTTGCAGTAAAGTGCTCAGTGACCAATGGCTGCAGACACAAAATATTTTTCATTCTTAATAGTGGTCTGGGGTCAGAAGACCAGGAAGGAAAGGGCATGAAGGCAATAACAATGAATTTATCAGCCCATGTGTGCCCCCCACCGAGGGGTCTGGAGGAACAGTCAGATGAATGTAGACCCCACTCTGTTTTCCAAAAGGTATTTGGTCCAGAGGGCTGCAGGCTGAAGTCATTGTGCCCGTCAGACTGACTCCCTTTATCAGCAGTGAACTGCTGCTTTAAAATAAAAATCCAAGAATTGACCTACAACCACTACACTGCCAAATACAACTGAGATTTCTTAGAATCTGCTTTCAGTGTCTTTTGTGTAAAATGTTTCCTAAGATGTCTTTGTGTGGCTATTAGCTATTGTAGTTGCTGTGCTGTTAAACTTTTTTAAATGGCAAGTCAAAGCATTTCCTTGAAATCTCTTCTGAAATCGTCTTTTGTTATGGACCACTCTCAAGCTAAACCTGGAAAACCAAAAAAATGTAATAAAGAGACTGGTAAGGAATGGGTAGTATTCCTTTCTTTCACCCTCACTGAAAATTACTCAGAAGCATATCTTTAAGGGGGCACAGATTTTCAGGTCAACCAGAAAGAAGACACTGGAATGAAAACTGGTTAAGATGAAGGATCAAAGTGGTGATTATTCGGCCATTGCAAGTCTTTCAGGGGAAAGTTAAACTAAACACTGTGACACTTTTTCTATTGGTAAGGCTGGTTAATAGAATAGGACAGAATACATTGCCTAGAGAAATCATGGAATTTTTAATTTTGGAGACTTTTAAGCAGAGACCAGGCAAATGTTTGCTAGGAACAATTTAGGTAGCGCTGATGCTATGGTGGAGCAGGGGAATAGACCAGGAGACCTCTTCAGGTCTCCTGTAAATTTATCTTCTTTGATTCTGTGCCTACAAACAGAAAGGAGTGTTAGCCAAGAACATGCTAAACTTGGGAAGGTGTGCAGCAATGTTTTAAATCCATTTATATACAAACTAAAGTTTAAGAAAATATACATATGAGATGAAGAACTGCAAATGAAAGATGACAGAGAAATAACACACAGGCATTTGAAATGTGGGCCGAAAATAAAACAGGATTCAGCTTGGAAAATGCATGCTAACATACTTGGGGAAATATAATCTGAAATAATATCCTCAGTGGGAAAGCGAAACCTAGAAATCATTTATGTTACAAAGCAGACTTCTGGCTGACTGAGGACAGCAAATCAGACTGATGTGTTTAAAGCACCACTGTAATGGATGGAGCTCAGCTGGGACTTTCAAATTCAGGTTTGCTGCTGCTGCAACTGAGGCACACAAATAAATCCCCTAGCACTCATGGTAACAGTCTACCACCTGATTTATACCTCCATTGAAAATTTGGCTGGCAATATTTATGAATTCATGCTATTTTACAATGCAAAATTAAACTGACCACCTGCCCTGGGAAACAGCTTTAGTGTTGAGTCCCTGAAGGTTCACCTGGAGACCAACAGCCAGCTCTAGAGATATGGCCTGATGATGATCTGGCTGAACACTGTTTTCCAACAGAGTAAGTAAGGTAACAGGCACCCTTCCACCCCTCTCCAATTTATGTGTAGTAAAGCAGTCTGAGCAAGGTCTTGATTCACTGGCATTAGTAAACGTTAAAATTCCTCTTGCTGGCTTCTATGGACATAGAATTGTACCAGTACTGGATGTTCAAAATTTCTGAGATTAGCTGGAAGAAAAAACTAGGCAAGTAGGTGGGCAAGAATTCAGGTGATGAGACAAATCCTAGAAAGCTGTGTGAAGAACTGGTAAAAAAACCATGAACGCAGATGTTGACAATCTCTTAGTTTTTCAATTCTTGCAAATTATTAGACATAGTCTCTTTTACCTGCCTTGGCTACCAGCTATGTTCCCTACGTGTTTGTTCACAAGGAGATCTAAAGCCATTGAGGAAAATCCTTCTCCACCTGGTAAGAGCAAGCAATTCGAACTCCAGACCCTTGCTTATGCAAGGAACTTTAAAATGTGGGTAGACAGAGATGACAGAAATACTACACCGCACCTGGTATACTGTTGGCAGCACCTTTTTACCTAGTTACATAGAAAAACAACATATTAATTTCAGAGGCTTTTATTTCCTCAGAGTCCAGGAGCAATAATTTTGTTTCAGATGTTTTCTTTAACACAAATTTTTCCATTCTGTCAGTGGCACACTCAGCAGCTCCTGCCATAAGCACAAGTCCAAGCACAGTACGACTTCATGAAAGACCTTACATCAGCTGATGGCAGCAATGGGAAAGTCTGTGTTTGCTCTGTGTGAGATCTACGGACTCCCATAGTGAACCTATTTGTACTTACATGCAGGAGTTAGATGTCCTGTTACCAGACAGAAAAATTAGCTTGGTTCCCTTTGCCTCCAATACTCACTTTGTGTCCTTTTCTAACTACTCCCACTGGATGTTCCCACGGGCTCTTGACAGCTCTTACTTGTCCATTTGGAAGGAAACAGAAGGCAATGTTTCCAAAGGAACTAGCCTACCATCTGAGAAGTCTGTCTCCTAGCTCTGTTAAGATGATAGCCACAGAGTAAACCAATCCTTCCACTTCCCCCTGCTCTCTACACTATTTCTCCATCCAAAGCAAGCCTGCTTTGGCTGAGACCTCCCTGTTTTAACTACATCATGCACTGAAATGAGATCATTGCTATACTCTGGCAAATGAGGTTGATCTGTGTGGTCCTCCAGCTGTGCAGAGTGCTTTTCTCCAGGAAACTTTTCCTGTTCACTGTGAAAGGTGTTATCTGATATTTTTTCTTCCTATCACTATATCTTGTGAACACATAGGAAAGGGTCTGATGTTGGGCTTCACCAGATCAAGCACAGAGAAGCTGTGTTGGACAAAATCATTTACTGAGTTCATTGTCCAGGATCCTCTCTGAGGGCTTTCACTGGTGGAAAATACAGCACGACTACTGGCACAAGCCGTGCCGGTTTCCTGTTGAGATATACCGGATTGGCAAAATCTGCCCATGCAGGGAGCTGAGCCACCTGGGAAGATACAGCCCAGGTCACCCAAGGCTCACGCTGTCTCCCCACTATGGTCCTAGTTCTGTTGCAGGAGCCCTTTAGGGTGCAGAGGGTCAGTTCGTTTACTGAACTCCATGGAGTCATTCCAGATTTAATGCTAGCGCATACACGATCAAACTTGGGCAAAAATGCATTCAGTAGGCTGCAAGGAACAGAAACGTGCGAGTTCTCAATTCACTGACCTTCTTAGTAACATTAATGTTTATCTACTGGCTATGTAAGTGTTCATAAAGTAACACAAATGACTGGCCAGGATCAGCTACCAACTACACAGCTATAAATCCTGATGAAGGGAAGTGATTACTTACTGGTATTTACTTTACCTCTGTTATTTTAGCTATGCCTTCTAGTACATTTCTAAATAAATTCCCTTCTTGCTTTAATATTTAAAGATCTCTTGCACAAGCAGACATCATATGTCCAATCACATGAAATATTGTAACCCACATAGATATATTTAATTATTGAAAAAATCACATCTTGTAGCCCATTATCAATTTTCTGTCTTCTAAATTTCCTCCATTATTTCAGTATTTTTCTGTTAAAGTAGTTTCTTGGACTAAATTTACTATTCAAGGAACAATCTTATGGGGGTGTACAACTGAGGACTATGGTACCCTTGTACTTTGTTAAATGAGGCCTTAACATATTTCTCTACAGTCTCTCTGCCTCTGTATAATAGTGTATTGAAAACACATCTCACTTGATCTTCGCTGTCACTCCTTGGTCTCTTTTGGTGCTGTTTTCCTGGCTTTTGCTTTCCACTGTGTATTTGTACTTTAGTTTTTTTTACAGCTGCCTTGCATTTTTCTAAATTCTGTCTTTCCTGATATTATAAATTATATTATAAATATTATATTTTTCTGTCTCTCTTGATACTGTATGCAATCTCTCCTTATGTTACAAATTTATTTTTTATCTGGGTCATATTCTATCCCCTCAGTGGTTACTTTTGTATCTTTCTCATTGGCATTATCTAAAAATTTCAATAATATACTATTTTCTCTATTTTCCACATTATATAAAATCGCTCTTAACCTCCAGGCCCTAAATTTGTGTCACAACATGCTCTCCTTGGATCTCTGTGATTTTTCTCATGTCACTATGCAGGTTTCTAAAGAACAGACTACTCATTACAGAACAAAAACCTTGGTTGTTTAGACACCAGTCTCAAACTCACAAATGCTTTCAAGTGGATAAAAAGCGAAGTTTGAGGAATGCTAAAACCATAGCATTTGCTGGGAGACGAGGACTGGCAGGAGCGCATGAGTGACAGGCTGGTTTGCTGCAAACCCCGAATTGCTCCAGGGAGCAAGGAGCTTGCCTTTCCTTGGGTGGTCCCACTTTCTCATTCCATTCATGGGCAGTTATCTAAGAAACAGAGGGAGAATCATGCTGTATTGCATTCAGTGTGTACAGAGGAGAAACAAACCTGGTAACGACTCAGTATCTTCTGGCTTTGACTCCAACCACAGTGAAAACTCGAGGTGAAGAGCCTAGGTCCCTCTGCACTGGGCCAAACTCAGCCTGAAGAAAGAAAGGTAGGAACTCTGTGGTGGAGGCAGCCAAGAAGAGCACACAAAATTTTCTTCAAGGAGCCCGGTAAACAGTAGTTTTTGTGACTAACATTTTTTCAGAAAGATTTCGCCAGCTATTTTGCATGCTTTTTTAATTCATATGTTTGCCAAGCAGGAGTAGTACAACTAATATCAGCTCCTACAAATCACTGGTGTATAAATGAGATGATGGAGTTCTGCTAAGTGCTTGGCTGACATCAGCATACTGTGCTTTGCTGGCCCAGCATCATGCTGCTGGTGAGGACATGACAGGCAACAGCCCTGCTCATGAGTTATTAAGCAGCCAGTTCAAGACTGGCAACTGGACAGAGCTGCCTACAACCTCATCAGACTGCCTTTCCTTCTTGTATTTCAGCATTGCTTGTAAAATTTCTCCTACTTTGTATCCCTTCTCTACTGCTACTGATGACAGTTTCTGAAGCTGCAGAAAACCAGAGACACAACAGAAGCGTGTTATACACCAGAAGCGATATACAGGTGTGATATACCAGATGTACTGATAAGGTCAATTATTTTAAAGGGGAACTGAAGAGAATGTGCACATGCACGTGCCTGTGTGTGTGAGTGAGCATGATGTAGCAGATGCATCTCAGTCCTCTACTTCCATCCTGCTGTTGGAGGCTTACATTCTCCATGGCTGGATTCTGTAAGAGGCTGCCAAACGGAATGATGACAAGAAGTGAAGAGCTGCTGCCTGCTAGGTCATTAGTAAAGGGGAAAAGACTCCAAACACAACTCAGATTGCTCTTCTTTGTCCAAGTTGAAAGAAATATAACAAATGCAGAGTGAAAAGTAATTTGGGATTCTGAATTATTTGGATACTGAGAATCCATAGCAATTCAGTAACATGGGTAAAAATGTTTGTGAACAACTCATAATGTTTATAATGTAAATATTTCTTTATTAAATTTCATTGCCATTAGAACATTTCTGAATGAAAACATCTTAATTTACATAATAAATGTTGAAAGCAAATGTATTTGTTACTTTTAAAATTAGACCCACTGAATTTGTGGGAAATACAGCATATAAGATAATTTTGCACCACCTTTGTGCTGAGCTAAAGGTACACATTTTTCTTTATGTCTTTAATTCCTATTAGCTTACTACTTTGTAACAAGACAGTAGATTTAATATTACCACATTGCTACTCTGGGCACTAGCTTAAAAAAAGAAATGTCTAGAAAAGATTTTATTAAGAAAATCTTTGTTCCCCATAAGGCAGTAAGATTGAGGGAACCAACCAAACAACTAAGTACAATCAGATTCTAATTTCTGCCTTGCTCACCTTATTCATGAACTCATCATCATCATCCAAGAAGCAAAGCACAGGCATGTCTGCCTGAGATGCAGTCACCCACTGCAAAAGGGCTCAGAGCTGTTCCATACATTTTCAGAAGGATTTTGATTCACCAGTACCCCGCTGTGTCCTGCTCCAGCACCTTTACTGGATCCAGCCATGGAGTTAGCAGTTCCCATGCCCCTAAAGCCTACTGATCCTGTGCCATCGTCGCTGCTCCCTGGCTCTGCCAGAAGTGACTCAGGGTTGCTGTATTTAACTATCATAAGACACAGCTTTAGCACCGTATCTACCAGACTGCCAATAAATGGTGTGCTGCTCCTGTCTTCTGTGCTCAGATCAAGTTGATCAGTAAGCATTTTAGTCAGTCCAGATATGGCCTCTTCACAGGATTGCTCAGTGCCTGAAAGGCCAGTATATTCCTTAGTGGTTTTGCCAGCATTTTGGTTTGTTTCATCAATAATTGGATTTCCAGGCTGACCTTCTACTTTGCAAACAAAAAAAACCTCTTCTATTTTTGTTTATTAACTTCTGAATTAGCATTAATGTAGGACTGGCCATGTCATTTTCAGGTTTCTGCCTTTCAGTGTCTGACTTCTGTCAATCTGATTCTTCAGCTTCTTTTGATGGATCCTGACATCTTTCTGAAAATATCTGGAAGATGGGACCATGGGACTCCTATAATAACCACCCAAAGGCAGTGGGACCTGCTTTGCTAACACTGCTACCTTCTGTTGCTCTCTTGTTGGCATTCTGCTAGATTAGATGACAATCTATGGGCAATAATGCAATCACAATAAAGCCCATGAATCTGGTAATATTTTGGCTACATCCCAAATTTCTGAACTCCAGGGCACGTTCCTTGGTGATCTTGTTTCAGCTTCCCTTCCTGATTTTGAGCATTGGCTGCATTGGTTTTGGTTTTCATGCCAGAGGGTAAACCCTTGCTTAATAAAGTGGTTACCCACTGCGTTTGCACAGGTCATTTCTTTTTCTTTCGGCAATGTTTCAGTCCTTGTTGCTGCAAACCTCAATTCTGAGCCTTTGCCTCTTTTCATGAACCTGTCTTCACAGAGGCATATGCTAGATGTTATCTCCTCCAGGTTTTTGCACTATGAAGGTACAATACAAATGATTCAACATTGCTTGTACAATTTCTGCAGCCTTACGACTGCCTAGGGTGAACAGAGTCAGCTTCACTGCAGAAGCAAAGTCTGAATTAGTCAAGAGTTTGCCTGCTAGGTTGTCCTGGTTTCAGCTGGGATAGAGTTAATTTTCTTCTTAGTAGCTGGTAGAGTGCTGTGTTTTGGATTTAGCATGAGAATAATGTGATAACAGACTGATGTTTTAGCTGTTGCCAAGTAGTGTTTGTACTGGTCAAGGACTTTTCAGCTTCCCATGCTCTGCCAGGTGCTCAAGAAGCTGGTAGGGCGCACAGCCAGGACAGCTGACCCAGACTGGCCAAAGGGCTATTCCATACCGTATGACATCATGCTCAGTATATAAGCTGGGGGAAGAAGAAG